ACCTATATATATATATTTATCTAAATCTTGAAATGGCTCCTGATATATATTACTATCTCAGACAGTAATATTGTTGTTAATATAGTAATTAATATTACTTTGTTAATATTAATTTTACTGCATTGGCCTGCAATACTAGTCTCAGGTAGTAATATTACAATTAACACAGTAATATTAAAGTGTTGGTTGTTTTAATATATATATATATATATATATATATATATATATATATATATATATATATATATATATATATATATATATATATATATATATATATATATATATATATATATATATATATATATATATATATATATATATATATATATATATATATATATATATATATATATATATATATATATATATATACATATATATATATATATATATATATATTACTCAATATGTAAATATGTATATAAATAAACTTTGTTTTCGCGCAACGCAACATGAAATGCATAACATAAGTCAAAATTCCAAGAAAGAAAACGTGTTTTTAAACCTCAAAATCAAAGTCAATTTCATCCAATTGATAATTGTTGTGGTCGAACCGGTATTATCAGATAGAGAAACCAATTTGGAAAGTTTTAAGATCTAGAGGTTGAAAGGATTTGAAAAAAGCTAAAAAAAAATTGTGAAAAAATGAATTATTTCACACCGCAACTGGACAAAAATACTCTGATAATAGCAAACCACAACTTTTATCAAAAACAATTGTGAAAAAACGAATTATTTCACACTGCAACTGAAAAAAATTACTCTAATAGTAGCAAACCACAACTTTTATCAAAGTTTTCCTAACAAGATATTTGAGGAATCGCGTGTCCCAGTAGAAAGTGAACTAAGAAAGCAATAAACTATAATGACTAAATAAATAAGTTAAATATTGCTGGATTGAGTAAATAAAAGTGGACAGCTAAAACACAAACACTGGAACAACTAAATTGTAATTTTAATGTTTAGAGCTAAATATGAGATCTATAATTGATTGAGATGCTCTTAAAATGATATCGTAAAAAGAAAATCGAAACCCTAACGTTTCATCTTTTTAACCAATAAAAACCGAAAATTGCCAAGTTAGACCTCCAAATGAGACCAAAACTGGTTTTTAGGGCCAAAAATAACATCATCATCATCATCCACCCCTTTTACACTTGAGACTACCAAGTAGGGGTGGTTTCGGTACGGTTACCGAACATTTTGTTCAATACCGTGTACCTACCGTATCTTTCGGTATTGAAAAATTCTATACCGTTACCGTACCAATAATTGCGGTATACCGTTATTCGGTATACCGTTAGTTTCGGTACGGTATGATCGGTACATGGTAATCTATCGTACATCATTTTTTGACGAACTCGGATGGTACCTAATTAAGATGAATACTAAATAAATGCATAAATACAAATGAATATGGTAATCAAGCAATCTACATGAATACACATTATACAACCGTAGTAGCATATGTTGCTTTAATTAACTAATGCTTACTTAACATATCTACAGAAAAATTGTAGAAACTTATAATGAGCAAAAAAGTTTCATGGTTTAAGAGAAATAAAAAAAAAATTATTTTGCAATAATGCAAATGAAACAAAAAGCTAGAACTCATGGGGGACAAAAGGGAGAAGAAAATTATGACAAAAAGTATTCCACCAATAACAGATTAATTGGACTAAAGAAGTACGTGACATAAACAACTTTAACGAGAGCCAAATATTAAGTTTGCATAAATATATGAAGATAATACAAAATTTATAATTATGTATATATAATATATATATAGGATGTATCATATCGTTATTCTTGTTTTTTATTTTTTTTTATAATATTTGTTGACTATATTTTAATTTATTTAATAATATAAGGAAAAATATATTAACTAATTTTAAAAATACAAACTTGCGGTACGGTACGGTATTACCATGGTATTGAAGATACAATACCGCTACCGTACCGTAAGATAATGGTACGGTACCGATATCGTACCAAATGAAGTGGTAACCGATAGTTCGATATTTATTCGGTAATTTGTGGTAGGTATACCGTGGTAATCAGTATTTGGTAATGTTTGTCCAGCCCTACTACCAAGTGTCTACGAGTCTCTGATTCAAACAGTTTTTTCCAATCGAACATTGTGCTACATATATAATAATTACGAAAATGAAAAAAAAAAAAATCTTTGAATCTTTCGTCCAAAATTCCCTGCAAAGTTGGCTCAATAAGGTAAAACCAAAATACTAGTCATATCCCAATAACGTAACAGACTAGCCCAATTATAACAGAAAATACGATAACCAAAACCGGTAACATCGATTTAAAGTCGGTCGCATGTGCGGGATTGTTTCCATTTCCAAATTTGTTGGCCTTTGAGATAGAGTTAGATGACGACTTAGCTGCATATGAGTAGTCAGTTGCAATCCCCCAAAAGGTTTTGGTAGTTGAAGAAGCTATCACAGTGGGTGCTTCAGATTCAGGCTCCAAAATTTCGGAACCATCTGTTGGAACTTCTATCGACATCAGTTCAACACAATGATCTTTCAGAACCTGAAGCCATAAAAAGAGGACATTAGAAGTCATTCAAGCATGTTCGAAGAAAATCACAGTATACGACATTAGAAGTCTACAGAATATCATCTGCTGCAATAATGAAGCAAGAAAAAATCTTTTATATGATGCATGATAGGTAAACAGTAGCGGACCTCCATTGTCTCGGATGACTGAATATAATCACAGATGTATGTACCCTCCAGCCATGGAACAAACACTCTTCGAGGAAATGATAGGTTGCATTGCTTTCTGTTACAGACATAATTTGAAGATTCTAGTCAGTCCGCAACTATTGAGTTAAAGGTGTCGGGCTAGTATTTTTGATAATTCTGTGTGCAAAAAGTGAAAATGCACATCTTCAGTGAGGGACAATTTATCATACCGTTGCACTTGAAGGTCAATGTACGGAAGAGGTTTGTCAGATGATATAAGGTTGTTTATTTCCTGACGACCATCCGTAACAGGTTCTAAGTCCGTGTCACCCTCATCACACATAATCTCCAGTCTACTTTGCAAACTCCTTGTGATGTCCTCCTAATCACAACAAGATTCAATATCAGAACAGCGAAGAGAAAAAGAAAAGGCCAATCAGAAAATAACTTAGTAAACCATTAAATCCATTTGAGCTATAAAATGTTATAGAACCCAATGGAGTTCCAAATTTTAACAGAACCAATTACCACTAACTCAATTTTATTAGTTAAAATATTCTTAAACTTAGTAGCAACCGTCCATATGAATAAATCATCGGTGGGACAAGGAATGCATAATGCAAAAATTTTAAGAAATGACGCAAATCCACCTGACAATATTTAACATTAATACAGTACACATACTCCCTCCATTTCATAACAGTTTTAAGCACAGGTATTCAGAGAGTTAATAAATATGAAAGAACTTTAGGAAAGAACGCATAAACTAAACTACCCTTCCCACTAATTATATCTCCACTAATATTTGAGAGACTTTTAAGTGTAGTAAGGGCAAAAAATCAGAACAAGGTAAGCAATGCATCATTGAAATCCTACAGCCGCAGATAATATGGAACCCAAAAAGTTATCCAAAACACAACTTTTGAGGCCTTTCAAGCAGAGAACTATATGGAATCACCTTTATATCCACCAAAGCTTGTGATACAGGTTCCTTTGAATTCAAGTATGCAAGAGAACATATGGAACCTCGGAAGAGAAGAATACCAAGAACCTCTTTTTGGTTGCACGCTTCACGTACAAAAAAGAAAACTATATTATTAGGGAACCTGAGCAACATAAATACAGAAAATTGAAAAATTCGACTTAGAAGTAAAACCAAATAATACCTTCTAAATATTTATCTTGCAGTAAAGGTAGAAGAAATTCAACTTCATGAAAGTCATCTGATACACATAGATCATCATCAGCCACCTGAAGGAAAGAAACTAAAGAATCTTTAACATATGTATGTACTAGGTGGAGACTTTAATTAAATAATCAATAATATCAGAAGCAAACCCATTTGTCTCATTAAACTGTCGAGCAAAAAAGATTTACAAGTCCCAAGATACATGATAAACCTATAAATGGTAGTACTACTGAACCAAGACAATAATCTCTTTACTAACTTCATAAATGACTTGTCAAGAAATGGTAAGCAATTTTAAGTTTTAACCAGTTGGAAAGACTTGGGTTTTGTTAGGCTTCCATCAGATTAGCAAAGACGATATGAATAAAGCATCTGGACTAGCGATCACGAATATAGATATATGCAGCAAATCATTTCTTGTTTTCTTTATTTACATTTAAATTTGGGTGATGGGGAAAGAATTTGAAGTAGTTCATCATTTGTCATGTAGAACTATAATCAGGCTGAAAACAAGTCAAAAAAAGACACAAGAATCTATATATTAATAGTTACTCGAGAGATAATCAGTCAGATAAGCATGAAGGTATCCGATAAAAGAAAGTTCCAACGAAGTCAATGAACATCCAATTGCTGGCTTGCTTCATATTCAAAAACAAACATTTGAAAGGGCTAATGTGTTGTAATTTAGATTATCAAAACCATAATTTATTTTGCCAGTTGATTATTAGTGATACCCTGAAGTTGTGACATATTTTAAGAATTCAACGTCAAAGGTCTTGATATAGGCTTTCTATTACATTTTCCGATTTCATTTTTTCCTGTAAAAATGGACGTCAAATTTACCCAATCAGTAGACTGAATTAGGGGAAAATAGAGACAGATTATAGAACACTTTAGATTTCAAGTATGATTGAGAAGGAACAGTAAGACAAGACATGATACTCCAAGAGAAAAACAAAATATTGAAAAATAAAAGTTAAAATGCATGTATTAGTATGCAAATGCAGTAAAGAAGATGGGATTTTATAAAGAGTTTTTGGTTAGTTAAGCTCAATTAATCATGGCTATACTATCTTCAGATTTGAGTAAACCTGCTTTATTTGAACATATATAACTTGTATCAATCTAGTTCATGTTACGGAAGGAGGTTCATAATATCATTTACATTATTCAATTGTATTTGCATATCTGACACACTACTAGATCAAAGGAATAAGAGAAGAAAAGATATGGTGGGCATATGTAATAGCATAACTCAGACTGGCATCTAAAGTTCCATTTCCATCCAAAGAATTATGAGGAAAGAGAAAAGAAAAAGAAAATCCACGAAAACTGGAGTTTCTTATTGTTCTTCAGGGCACCATAAGATTACAGTTCATAACCACCACATGAATTAGCAAGTTTCAACGGTCTTACCAGTTTGCCATTGATCAAAGCCTTTGCCCCTGATAGTTCCTTAGCATGGACCGCAATTTCATCACGAAGAGAATCAGAAAAAGATTTAATATCCAGTCCATTCTCGTGAGGTATAGGCAGCCTGGAAGGAGAGAGCTCAAAACAATTAAGACAACCAGATATAAGTAAATGTATGAAGCTTAATTGAAGATTTAGCTGGGTTAACTATATCCCCAGTTCAAAACGTCAACCAATAAGATGTGACTTTGTTTATCCAAAAAAAAACCAATAAGATGCAACTTATTTCGATGTATAATATTTTGATTTAACATCTGAACTGACAAAAAAACTGAATTTGGACAGGTTGCAGCAACATACAGGGTTTTTCTGAGAAAAGGCTATATGGCAAAGCAGCAAAACTTCTACATCAGCAGCATAAGTTAGTTTGAATCAATGAAATTTAAGCAGAAGCAACAGCAGAGAACTGTAAAAGATTTACCAAGTGCAAAAACACGATTTCAGAATAAAGTAGCAATCATCATTCAGATACCTTTTCCTTCACTCTGAGGCTTTTCCTTTTCACCTTTCATAGTATAGTTTTCCAAGAAGATTTTTGAATTTTATATCCATTTTCTCAGACAATAGTTAATGAAACTTAATTATGCTGGAAAGGGAATATATTATACAACTCGAAAGTCAGGATACTGTTTAAAAAGTGTCTTAAGCTGAATTAATCGTGGCATAACAATACCCGACACATTAGGAACACCTCTGGCTAAGTATAACTGCTACATATCAAATTATAAATGACGGAATAGATAATAATTTAAAAAGGTACTAAACGAAATTCGATGATGACTTCATTTAACCTTCGCATTTACAGGTAAAGTGCAGGAAAAAAGAACAAAAACGTAAACACGGATGTGATTCAGGTATTGGGATGGAAAGCATTTCTTACAATGATTTATAAGCATTAGGAGGAAAAGGAGAACAAGAGATATTATGAAGGGATGAATGAGAAAGAGATTAGAACAACGCAACTTCCCCCTCTCCCTAAAAACTACATGAGATTTCCATTAGATAAACATTTCTAATTCCTCATCCATAATAGAAGGAAGGAGATCAGTGATCCTAAAGGAAGAAAATTATCAAAGATAACTTAGTATTTAACATAATAACAGAGGTTTAGAAAGATAAAAGTTAAGAAACAAGAAATCACCTTACATCAAAATTGTATGTGCATCTGAATGTTTGAAGCGAACCAAAAACTTTTCCCATTTTAAAATCACACGGTCGTAGGCTGCTTGAAGTAACATTTGCTGCCAGCGAGCAATTGCGGGATGTCCATCTAAAATACAAGTGTTAGCTACTTTATCATATATCAATAATGCAAACAATTAAATGAAGAATAGCAGAATCTGGAGGCTACCTCAAAGGACTGTAACTAATGTGAACTAGAAGTCTCTCATTCCCATCGCTAATCATTGGGGAAGCTGCTTCTGCAACAGCTTTTACAGTCTGTAAGCAACATCAAAACGTTACGGAAAACGAATTGCAGATGCATACAATTTTGTAAGCAATGATAACACTGGTACTCAAATGCTTTGTTAGTCTCCAACATTTCAACAAATATCATATTCAGGAATTATTTGGCATCATTAAAAAATCATAAGTAGGGTTTTCTTTGGGAACAATAAATAGGTCAGTGAAAAAATATTGTTGTATAGACCAAAATGAGGATAAGTTTGGAGAATATATCAGGAATTTGTTAAGACTATATGATTTGCTTTCTATGAAAATTCTGATTTGTGGTCATCTAGTAATTGTAATATTCATTGATTGCTGGCACTAACTATTTTTTTTTTACCAACTGATGTTAAGCTATAAACCTAATACAAAATATATATTATAGTGCGACTTGTCAGCTTTTTACAGTTCAAATTCCCATTATAAATATATTAGCTATGTTTGTTAAGCTTCCACAATCATTTCCACTCTTTTATTTTTCAAAAAGATTTGGGAATTCTTAAAACTCGTGCTTTTTACTGTTATTACTGTTACAGTAAAAACTGTCTCCACTAAAATACAATAAATATTACTTTATTTCAAATTGATCTTCTAAAATACCAAATACACTTCTTCCAAGATATTATTTGACTGCTATAGTGTGTTGTCCAAAATACTCAACTCCATAAACAAATTGGAAATAAATTTTCTCAAGGGTAACCTTAGTCATTACCATTTCTTACTTTATAGTTTATTTACTTCTTCCCTAAATGAAGAGTTAAAATAAAAATGTGCAAAGAGAAAAAGCCAAGAGTTCCACTAAAAATACTAAAACATTAAGCTTGAATTGTACGTAAGTTACATAATCCAAATGGCAAATACATGTAAAAATCAGCCAATGAGCATGTCTAGGATATTACGGACTTAAATTAGAAAAATAAAATTGAATAAAACTCATTAAAAGTGAGTGGAATCAACTTCTGCTGTATAACTTAAAAATCTATTGGAACTTTACAGCTCGTGGATGCTATGCAAATGGCAACACATGATAAGAGATTAAGAGAAAGTGTGTTTGGCTACTGTGGTTGACTGTTTGTCTCTTGTGAGAGAACAAAAGAAGGTGTATGCATATATTGTGTATCTGGGTGAGAGAAAGAAGCAAATGCTAAAATTGTGGTGGTGAGGTCTCAAATGATATTAACTATTCTTAGACATTTTGCAACGAAGCATCAAACAATTATGACACATATGGGATTTGTTCACAGTCCTCACAACACAACAAAGCGCATATTATCAGTAACAAATATGCATGTCTACAAAACAAAATGAGAGAATCGAAGTTCTGATCATTATTGACTCGTCTGATGTAATAAAGATGATAGGGAATAGATAATTGCACTTATAGTTCAAGGGAATGAATAAAAGGCAAGTAAGAAGGAGACAAGACCTGGCATAATGTCATTGTCGAATTCTTGAACAAGCTTTCATTGACCCATATGTAAATACCGACCACCTTCATGCCACCCAATAGCATTCTTGTGACCTAACAGATTAGATTTGCACAAGGGCATAATTAAGGTCAGAGATTTGACTACGAACTGAAGTCAGAGATATATCTGTTTAATTTACTGGAGTATGAAAAAGTCAGTCACCATCATGCAACAATAATTCATTATGAGACCCATAATAACATCATCACCAAATTAGTTTGAGATTTTACTAAGATAAGTTAAGGGCATTTCATAAAGCAATCATGAACAGAGTTAACATTTAAGCGACCGACATTTTAATGCCTTCACAAGAAAGAATGAAATTAAGAAAACTAAACAATTGAGAGAGCTGCAAATTTCCTGATCACAGAACAGCAGCAAATGAAAACAAGTCAAATAAGAGAAACGATTTGAATTCACAAATCATGAAATGCTGTTCTCAATCCCTTTCTACAAGTTCATGTCTGTTGTTACTAAAAACGTATGGAAGTCATAAAACTTAAGCATACAGGTTAACCATGAAAGATTTAGAACAGAAGTGCCTAATTAATATAAAGCAAAATATAATAATGCAGATATAATAGCGCCTAATTCTCAGCATTTCCAATTTACTACTTGGTAAACCACATTTATCCAATTCCAGTAAAAAAAAAAAAAAAAAAAACATACCCATATATGATGCTTTCAGAAAATGAAATAGTCATCCTCAAATTACAACACACTGTGAACATATACTTACATACACATTGAGCTGCACCAATAATTATAATTTCATAATGATAAAATTAAACCTGGCGAGCATGCTCGGAGACCCATTCGGTATCGATGAGGAGAGATGAAGAATCAGGCTGAGATTTAGGTTTGGATGGATTCTTCTTCTTACTTTTGTCATCAATTATCGAACATGGCGGTTCTCCGGCGTCATTTGGTGGCGTAGGCACCAAATCATACACGAATCCTCTATCTAACTTGGAACTCAATTTTCCAATCACAAGACCTACCTGCCAAAATTAAATGGAAAATTAAAATCACGAAGTTTGAATCCATAATAAGATCATAAGGTAGCAGACCTGAGATGGGAGGGCGGAGCGAGAGAGGCGATCTTCGATCAATTTGAGATGGGTTTCATCTCCAATTACGGTTTTCACCATGACTCCCACACCGAACCCTCGGCCAGATCTTGACGAGGGTTTTAAAGCGGGTAAATTAAATGGAACAAATTGTAGATTGTCAAGACAGAAACTCAAATTTCTTGAGTTTTTAGCAAGCGGCGGTGTAATGTCTAATTGTCCGAAAATTTCCTATGTTAAAAAAATTAGCATATACCCCCTAAAATGAGAAGTCAAAATCAATAAAGCCCCTGCAAGTAGACCTGACCACCTGTTCGATTAGAACCAGAACCGAATTGAGATCCACGGTTTTAGAATCGAACCGGAACTATTTTAACCCGAATTGGAACCATAACTGAAAAAATCGGTTCGGTTTCGGTTCCTCATTTTCGGAACCGAGAACTGACGGTTAGAACGGCGGTTCTAACCGTTTGAACTCGTTTAAAAAAAATATATATTGATTTCCCCTCTCTCTCTCTCTCTCTCTCTCTCTCTCTCTCTCTCTCTCTCTCTCTCTCTCTCTCTCTCTCTATATATATATATATATATATATATATATATATATATATATATATATATATATATATATATATATATATTTAAGTATTAAGAAAAATATTCGTCAAATTAAAAAAAAAACTTATACGTATTTAAAAATAAAATTTAAGTTTTTTTTTAAATATACTTTCCACTTTAAAAAAAGGAATTGTTTTTAAAAAATTTCTTAAAGTTTTTTTAAGTGATATATATATATATATATATATATATATATATATATATATAAATAAAAATATTTAAACAAATACCCTTTTACAGATATATATATATAAAAGGAAGATATTTTGAACTACAATCCTATATCTGATGCGATTTTATAATTTAATAAATATCATATTAAAATACATGAATCCCTATATTTGTGGACCCATGTCAATACACCTTCTTCTATTTTTTTTAATATTGTATTTAAATACATGAATTTCCTATATTTGTGGACTCCATATTCTAATATTTTTTTAATTTAATAAATATCATATTTAAATACATGAAATTCTTATATGTGTGGACCACGTTTCTAATTATTTGCCCTATATTTAAACACACGGTCTTCTATTTGTTTTTTAATTCTTTTTAATATCATATTTAAATACATGAATTTCCTATATATGTGGACCTCATGTTTCTAATTTTTGCCTTATATTTAAATACACCATGTTCTATTTTTTTAATTTTTTTTTTTAAATTTTCCTTATCCTCTTTAACCACTCACTAACTCATCTTCATATCATGATCTCAAGTCTCAACCCATTATCAATTTTATTGTTCTATTTAAACTCACGGGAACTCCACAAAAAATCACATTTTTTTTGCCAAGCCTCTTCTTCTTGCTCATTTAAAATTTTGTTCGTCTTTTTCTTCCTCACAAACTATTTTCAACGTAACCAATTGCCTTATACTGGTAAACAATACAATATTTGTTATTTATATTTATTTATATCATATGTTTGAATTTCACATCACATAATTGTTGCTAACGATTTTGATTTTTTTGTACAACTCGGGCATAATTTCCGTTCACAATGGCTCCCCGTATGACAGCCATATGCCTTCACATAATATTCATCTCTTTCATTGCATGGTTAACCATCATATTTTTCGTTTTCATAAACATATTATGCCTTTTTTTTTATAAACGCATTATCTTTTATCACTTCAGGGGTCACCGTCTGTTAACGTTGGAGGCACAACAATTATTGCAACATTGGTCGCGTTGCTTGGCAAGGTGTTCCAACGTTTTCGCGGGAAACCTTGCGTTCAAATAGATTTCACTACAGTACAATCCACTAATGTATTTGTGAAAGAAGAATCTGAATCAAATTTCTCACGGAATTGGTCATATTGTGAGGAAATCTCAGCGAACGAGTTCTTTTTAAGCTGCATATATTGTGACCACTATCAGGAGCGTGCCAAAACGTCTGAATTAGTGTATTTCCATGCATTGCAATCTCACCACAATGCACCGAGAATGTGTACAAGCAATGATGGCGGATCAATGTGCACTTGATTTTGATAATCCTAATTGGAGATGGTCTGTATAATTTGCACAATTAGATTTGCTCTTTTTTATCAATTGTTTTCTGCTTGGACACACAGTTGAAGTGTGTTTTTCTTATTCACTACACCACAAAACATCATCCATAGCGTTTGAAAAACGCTATAGTAGGATTCCATAGCGTTTTTACAAACGCTATGTCTGCCGGAGCTATAATAGGTTCGAACTTTTAAATAGCGTTTTAAAAACGCTATCGTAAAATATGTTTACATAGCGTTTTTGTGGCGTTGTTATTCACTTGTTGATAGCATGATATACACGTTATTGCTTCACTAACTACAACCTTTTATAAACGCTATGTTATTCTATAGCATTGTCTGTGAGCTATTATTGTGTCACTAAATGTATTTCATAAATGCTACTGAATTCACTGTTTTTACTAATACCATTGTTCCACATAATAATGAAAATATTAGTGCATAATCATATATCCGTAAAACTTCAATCGCCAATAATTTTCAGTAATATTTGAATCAACGTAATATAAGAACTTTAAAAGGCTAAAACTATTTCTCAATATTATTGCATAATAAAGGGAAAAAATATTGTATGAATCACCACTTATGTTCTACAAATACCAAACTGGCACTTATAGTTCGAAGAAGAAAAAAAGCTTATAATTTAAAAATCTTCAATATCTTCTTGTCTTCAAGTCAACAAGTACTTCCAGTTAAGCTCCAAGTTTCTGTGTAAATGATAACATAGAAACAATTAAAATATTGCAAGGTACTGTTTAATTGCACTTTAGCTAGCCTAAATAATTGATATAATAATAAATAAAAAATTGAGGTGGATTTCTATATTAGAACTCGCACTGCAGAATAAAACGAAGCAGAAATATGTTTACACCTTGAGTCAATATTTCTAATGTTTGTCCGAAATGTTAAGGCTTATTCCAGTATATACCACTGTAAATGTAAGTATGAGATATTGTAAATGTAAGTATGAGATATGAGATGCATAGACCATTAATAAAAAAGAAGATATGAGATGAACTAGAAAGTTTCCCCTTCTTCAACCTCTTTTCATTAGATATCAAGTGTGTGCTATCCATGTACCCATTCTTTTATGGTCAAGAAACTGGTATAAGCATGAAAATATTTAATATGTTCTAAAGTTGAATTAGTGATGTGAGAGTAAAGTAATATGATAGATGACACAAGAACGGGATATTCAATGAAACAACACAAAACAACATCTAATTGGGAAAGTTTTATCACCCACAAAATGTATAAATAAGTTATGCAGCATTTTAAAATGTACTTATTAATGTTATGAGGAAAGACTATTTGAATAAATATAACATCAAGTGAATGGGGAAACATGTGTCTGTAATCAGTTTACCTGACTTTCAAACAGGTAATAAACTTGTAAAATCATGAAGCTCAATGCGAGAGGCTATTAGTTGGTCTCGTCAAGCTAACCGGTAAGCGAGGGCCATTGTAATTCATTAGGAATAGGAAGATGACAGTTTTAAAGACATCATGCCCTGCAAAGAAGGCCACAATTAATTGAAAACTTAGTTAGGATTAAGATCCATTAATGACTTCAAGTATTTCACATTCGAAATTATGATGATTTGACATTTCCAGTAATCTAAAACTGATAAACAAGAAATAAAATAGAATAGAGACTTCCTAATTAATAGAATAATGGACAACGACAAAGACCGTACAAAATCCTACCGGCATGAATCAATATCAGATTCAACTTACAGTGATAATGCAGTTAGGCTACCACCAAGACAGTCGACAAAATCCTTCTAAAACCATGGAAATGAGAACTTGTTGTAAGGTAATGAATAATTTCATTCAAAATTATTCGAACGAAATGCAAGAATTACCATTATTAGGGTGAACAAATAATAAAGATAATCAAAAATACGACCAATTATTGTAACTAAAATTAGTGGACTTGCCCTTAAAGCATTGAGAGAATTACTCACATAAACATTTCTCCATTTTGGCTATCTGCCATTTGTTTATGGGTAAAGCCGCTACACAGGGGAGAAGATACAATTCATATTAGCTCTGTAAAATAAAATCAACATAAAAAACACTCATTACATGTATATCATGTATACAATGTTTCATGAGACAACAAAAAACCTTTACGAAAATTCTCAACAAATTGACTCTAGTCGAAGCAATATATCCCCACTACTACAATAGAAACTGTTTACCAATTTCTCATAAGCACTTATCATACAAAATAAAAACCTGTCTCACAGTTGAGTTATATGAAAATTCAACAAATAAATCCATAAGTAATTTTGGATCTAAAATATATGGGATGCGTAAATCTTTTCTTCACCCAACAAGAACACCCACAATTGAAATTCAAGAACAAATCAATTGACTATAATTAGGGATTTTAGCAAATAAAACGAAATTAGGATGAATTTACAAAAAATGAGAGAAACAAAGAGTCAGAGCCAGATATCGGGATTGGGAAAGGAAGAGGGAAAGGAGTAACCGGAAATTGACAGCAGATCGGCGAGACAGCATTCACTATTGGTTTCGTGAGGAAAGAGTTATTGCTGGTCTTGTGGAGTCATGGTTAAAAAGAATAAAATTTTATGTTTAAGAGCGCAAAAATAAGGTCTGACCACTAGTGAACGTCTAATGTATTTATCTATAGCGTTTCTTTTTTAATTCTTCAAGAAATCAAAAGTTATTATAGCACTACATGGAAAAGCGCTATATTCGGTTGCTATCAAAAGTCCTTTTTGCTGTAGTGATTGTAATATTTTTATTACAGTTGAAGTGTCTTTTTTTATTGTTATATTTTCATCACCGATGTAAAAAGTTTGATTAATGCAATTTTAATGTTTTCTTAGCCAACATACATCAGATATCTGTTATCTTTTCTCCATTTATTATTGTCCAACGACTTATACAATTTATTTACAGACTTTGATTTTTTTTTCTTTTTCTTTTAATAAGATCTCATTACATAGAAATTCGAAGAGTATTCTTAAAAAACTATATGCATATTTTTATATAAGAAAATAAACTCATGTTACCTAATACAATATAATCTGATTAATATAACATATTTAATTTCATTAATATAATATATTAACACCGCAAATTCATCTTTCATAGTCACT